GACTCAAGAGGTGAGAGTGTCACCAACTGAGCCAGGCTAACAGTAGTCATCATCTCAGCCATAATTTCACACCTGACTTATTTGAAACAAGTCATTCTTGGTGAGATTGAAAAGTATGGTCATAAAGACCTTAAAGCAGACTTTAAAAGCAGGGAGGGCAAGGTTCAGGTTCCTGGACTCACGTCGTTGAGTCATCTCAAAGCGCTTCACAATGGTATGGGCGAAAACAGATAGATGGGAGTGAATTGATTATCCTTTCAAAGACCTAGTAGATATTACAGTCCAAATGGCCTTCTTTTGTACTGTAACGTTCTACAGTTTGATGCCGATGGCGGTAAATCCACATCAAGATGGTCAACAGCATCATGGCTTTTTCTCTGTGTTTGTAAAAAGCCAGCAACTTGCTGACCAGTAGTTTTTCTGACGTCAAGATTGAGTCATGGGGGTGAGGGGCAACATTCACCTCCAGCATATAGAGAGCAGAGTAGAGAAATTCATGCATCCGTACATTGTGACTGGTATGTGCATTTAACCAAGAATCCTTGCTTTGTGAACACCTGTGTGTTAGTATATAGTGAGCTATTACTTGCACAATAACACAAAGTACCCTCAGTACAAATTGTATCTTGCCATCTCACAGCTCCCCTGTAAACGACTGTGTTTTGCCCTCCTGTCTCCCTGGCAACATTGCATCCAGACTGAGGTAATCTGCATCCGTCACCAACTCACCAGACAAGTGCTGACTGAAATATGGCTGCAACGTCATGCAGGCAATGGGCCATTGTTTCAAAACAATAAACATCCAAACCTGGCCAAATCTTCCATCATGTACACAGTACATGGTATTTGCAAAGTATTCAACTAGTGTTACGGTAGCTACATTTAAAGGGACTGTACATACAGTAATGCTGATGCTTGACCTCCAGCTTTGACTCAGAAGAGCGGGGGTAGGTGGCTGGCTTAAGCCAGTTATAGAAAGTGCTGGCACTCCACGTTTTACTCCTAGTAGCAATGCAATGTTGGCCTTCACTCAAATTAGCCTGTTTCCCTGCACCTTTACCACTTTTCTGAACACCGTTTTGTAAAATACTTCTAAGTCTGCTGTGCGCAATTGGTTGCTGCGTTTTGTCCACAAAATTTAGTCAATTCATTATGCAGTATATTCTGATAGAAATGTATGGTAAAAAAGGTGGCCATTCAGCCCATCGTGTTGTGCCACAAGCAATCTTTTCAGTCCCACTTACCTGCCCTTTTCCCATACCCTGTAGCTGACTCTTTTTAAGTTATCTATCTAGTTCCCTCTTGGAAGGCCAATATGGATTTTGCCTCAATGACTGCTCAATGGCAGGGCATTCCATATCCTAATCACTCTGTGTGTGAAAGAACTACATTTCCCTCGATTGCCCAAAGTGTTGGCTGTGGAGCATTGACTGTCATTGGCAGAATTTCTGTTGACTGTATCCCATTGCCAGCCATGGCTTTGTCAACTCCAATATCATCAAAAGAACAGCAATCATCCAGCAAAGTGCAGTGGCTGATGCTGACAAGAGTGCTGGATTACTTGGTTTGTAATAATATTTTACTAGTCGAATGTTCTTTGTCCTCTGTTCACATCTCTGACACCTAAATGTTTTTTTTCCTTACTGATTCAGTCATCTTGGCCTGATCTTTCGTTACTAAATCCCTGCCAGATTGGCGAGTGACAAACAGATTCTGAATTCCTAACACTACAGGGTGCTAAATACGATCTCTCCTAACAGATTCAATGTGAGATACGGAAAGTGCTGATGTTGCTTCATAATGTGAAGGTAAAATCTTCACAGAAATGTTGCAAAGGATGAAATGCACAAGGTCACAAAAGAGGTTTGGATATAGGTGGCCCTTCAGCCCTAATGATTTCAAACCTCCATGATACGTACCTACTGACCTCCCATTACAGAATCAAGCCAACTGTTTCTTGAATGAATCCAGCATCTGAGCCTAAACCACCCTTCATGATAAACCGTTTCAGTAATTAGTTACCCTCTGGGTAAAGAAATTATTCCTTGCAATTATGTCTTGAAATTGCCCTTTGCAAATCTGAACCTGTGCTCTCTTGTTCTGCTACCTCAGCATGTCTGACAGTATTAATTCTGTCAGTTTTAGCAGAGGTACCAATAACCTATTCATGCCTAGTCTGGAAGATTTGTTTTGAGGATTCCTTATCTGTTAATATCTAGAATTGTGGGGCTTTATTCAGCTATTTTCTCTTCTTATTTTCTCCTTTCCCCTAAGATTAGAAACACTTTGCAATGTTGGATATCAGAGGAATGAATGATTTTGAACAGGGCTCTAGAAATCGCTTAATTCTCACGCCTTCAGTAGGTGGAGTAAAAAGAAAACATCTGGCTTTCAGGAAAGCATTGAATTGAGTTTTGCAGCGTTTCTTAACTGGACACGCCCGATATGAATTAAAGGAGAACAGCTGAAGTGCCTGAGGTACTTACACTTATTCATCTGTGTGAAACATCGTCCACTTTGAATACTAACCGTGAGAAACAATTATTATTATGACTCAGTCATGAGAAAAAAGGATTAAATAATAATCCTTACTTTTGAATGAATAAGCTTTGCATTTGATGTAGCTCCTATAACATTAAAACATCTCAATGTACTTCACAGGTGATTGCTGTGTATCGGCAGCCAATTTACACACTGCATGGCTTCACCAAAACCCTGAAGTGAATGATCAATTTATCCGGAGAACTGTCGGCCAGGACACCGGGAGAGGTTCTCGGTGATTGGTTCAAAATGCTGCCGATGGCAAAAGAACAAATAGAGAAGAATTTTGAGGCACAGAAGGGATATTTGGCTCAACATGTCTGTGCTGTGTCCCTCAGGAGCAATGCTTTCAATCCCATTTACCTGCCCTATCCCCGTATCCCTGTAGTTATTTGTCTGTTTTCCTCTTGAGTTATCACAAGTTCATAGGTAAAGCTACTGCCTGGTATGAAATCGAGCCTTGCAAATGTGGAATAGCTCGGAATCAATTTGTAGGTTCTTCTGAAAGAGATAATTTCAGCTCAATGATAGAATTATCTATTCTGAAGACTCCAACCGCTTCATTACCAAGATATTGAAATATCCTTGGTTGCTGATATGGTAATTTGGCTATGGAGGCGGGGGCAAAATTAGCCAGATTAATCCATCACAGGCCATTATTTGCTGAATGATCTGTTGCCAGGAAACTACATGCCCTCGCTTTACTAAATCATCAACAATGGAATCCTCTTCCCTCTGATCTTGTTTTATCTAGCATTTTAATATGCATGAAATCAAAATCCCCTCAAAGGTACAACTAACAGGACTATTAAAGCAAAATTTTACAATGTAAAATGCATGTTCAATGTAAAGCGGGTGAAGCTTGTGTAAATATAAGGATCTGTTAACTAGATGTCTATTCCAAGCTACATGAAGTCCTGTATTGCTGTGCCAAGAATAAGTCTAGCAGAACTGTTTTGAAATGTTCCACACAGTTGGAGCATGCCGAAACACCTATCCCACATTCAGAAATTCCTGAAGAACATCATCCCAGACCCCTGCGAGGTCATTGAGTGGTCTGCGTGACAGGCAGTCGAAGCAGTTCAGGAGGTACCCTGAGGTACCCTGTGTCACCGTCTCTGACCAACAACCATCAGGACATGGCCTGGCTGGCGATACAAGGGGCCTCCCGCTCGGGCTATCATGCACGGTCGAGGTCTGGGCCAGTCAGCACACTGCCCTGGGGCCGGCTCCAGAGGCCAGGAGACCCTGGACCACCTCTTCCTGGAGTGTTGTTTTGCACAGGCGGTTTGGAAAAAGATGGAATGGATTCTCTCGCGGTTCGTCCCTGGGGACCCGCTGTCATGGCACTCGGTGCTGTGCGGCTTGTTCCCGGGCACTCACAGCGAAACTCACACTGAGTTTGCCTGGATCATAAACTCAGTAAAGGAGCCCCATTGGCACTCCCAAAACCAGGTGTTCGTCTGGCAGAATGAGGGGCCGATGAGGGCCTGAGGGAGCGTCCCAAAAAACGTGCACAACCTGCGTGCAGTGAAGGAATGTTCCGAAAACAGCGGAATGTTTTTTGCATCGGAAGAAAGCGGCGGGGCATGGGGGTGGGGGGGGGGGGGATTCTAACAGAGGATGTTGTATGTTTGTGTTTGTTTGGGATTTCTGTTGTACCAAATATTATAAATAAATATTTTCAAAGTTAAGAGCGCTCGCCTCATCAGGGAGTGCTCACCGAGTAACCCACGAGCTCACCCTCAAACTGTAAAGGGGGGGGGGGGGGAGAGCGGCAGGGAGTGCGGAAGAGCATTACCGTCCCGTAAAAGGACGGCAGAATCGGGACGAGGCCCCACCCCGTGTAACTGCTCCCTGTAGGGAAAGGGAACAGGACCCCGGCAGGGCCGCCATGGTGACGGGCGGGACTGGTTGGCTATGTGGTGTATGTGTTCACTATGTTCTGGGGGAGGGGGGTGGTGTGTGGGTGAACAGGTGTGTGCGGTGCATATCGGGGCGATTCCCGACTGTCATAAAAGGGAGCGTCCCCCAAACCCGTGTGCACACTGTGTGTGGTGGTGGGGGGGTACCAGACCCCCGGTCCCTCCACCAAAGCGGAGTGCGCAGAGGCAGCAGCTCCACACACACACACACACACACACGAGGAGCCGGGACCCGTCGCGTAACGGCGCAGTGACACGAGGCGTCCTTTTGGGTTTCTGTACAAGAACAACAACAACAAGATTCCATTTACTGAGCGCCTTTCACGTCGGGAGGACGTCCCAAGGCGCTGCACCGGGTTTGATACCGGCTGCGATCAGCCTGAAGACACATCCACACACAAATACATATTCGGGGTGTACGTATATGTATATATACCTGCAAATAAAAAAAAATAATTTAAATTTTTTTAAAAAAAGGGGCGGTGGGCACACCGGACTCGGACCTTGGGTGTTGGCGGGAGCCGCTCGCGGCACACGAACCCCCCCCCTCAAGTCAGTGCAGCGCGCGAACTCAACCCCGAAGACAACATGGGGGAGCAGGGCCGGGACGGCGGGCTTCACCCCCCGGACAGCCCCGCCTCCCAGGACGAGGGGACGAGGGCGGGTAACGCGGGGGGCTCCGGGAGAGATGGCGGGTTCGGGCTGCCGGAGGTGGCCGGCCCCGCGGATGACGGGAGGGCGGGCATAGCGGCGGACCAGCTGACCGAGGAGCAGATCGCCGAGTTCAAGGAGATCTTCTCGCTGTTCGATAAAGATGGCGCCGGCAGCATCACCACCAAAAAGCTGGGCACCGTCATGAGGTCCCTGGGCCAGAACCCCACCGAGGCCGAGCTGGAGGACATGATCAACGACGTGGACGTCGACGGCAGCGGCACCATCGACTTCCCCGAGTTCGTGGCCATCATGGTCAGGAAAATGAACGACACGGACGCGGAGGAGGAGTTCCGCGAGGTGTTCCGCCTGTTCGACAAGGACGGCAACGGGTACATCGGGGCGGCCGAGCTGCGGCACGTCATGGCCAACCTCGGGGAGAAGCTGACAGACGAAGAAATCGGCGAAATGATCAGAGCAGCGGACATCGACGGCGACGGCCAAGTCAGCTACGAGGAGTTCGTACAGATGTTGTTTCCAAAATGAAGACGGTCCCGGTTATCTTCTGCCCCCACTCCATCCTCCTCCCTCCCTCCCTCCCTCCCTCCACCCCACCTTCGCCCTCGAAACACAGGGGCCATTCTCCCACTTGGCCACTGGATTCATTCTGTGGCTGTCACAGGGCAACCAGGCGTCGCTGACCGTCAAAGAAGAAGGAATAAAATAAACAAAACACAAATAAAAACAACACCGCAACTTGTGTCACCACACAAACTCTGCAATGTGATGAGCGGTGGACCCCTGGACACCCCCCCTCCACCTCCACCCCCCACCCCACCCAGGGATCTCCAAGCCATTGCATCAGTCGAGCCTGTACTACCCTCAAAACACAACCAGCCCTTGGACTTCTTTAGGAAGTTTACATGTTAATTAATACACTGTTCGGGCTGGTCAGTTTTTGACAGTTTTCAAAAAGCACAGCCTGGTTCTGTTGATTCCACTTGATGTTCTTTTTTGTGGAAATAGTTTAGCTTTTTTTTTTCCAGTTTGTATAACGGAGACGATTGTTCTGAAGTTGGTTGGGTTGTTTTTCTTTTTTGAGTGCCGCCGCGAGCGAGAAAACAAAAACAAAACCAAACACACCGCCGGCGCTTAGAAGATTTTGATTACATGACAGGCCTGGAGTGGAATTGTTTTCGTACTTAACCGCGCACTCACAAATGAGCAGGTTTGAAGATCTCAATAAATAGATCATTTAAAAAAAACGAATGGATGGCATCTCTGTATAAACTTGATTAATGTGTCTGCATTAATTCCTTCAAAAAATGTATAATAATAATAATAAATTGATCACTCAATCCACGACTGTTTGTGGGACACTGCTGTGCGCAATTGGCTGCTGTGTTTCGCCCACAAAATAAACAGTCAGTTCACTTTACAGTGTACTCTGAAGTGCTTTGAGACCCCTCAAAGACATGAGAAGACGCCATATCAAATGCAAGGATTATTATTATTACATGTAGCAGTATGTTCCAGAACACGATTAGCCAAACTACGAGGAATATCTGACGTTCATTCGCATATCTAATGTTTTGTAAAGAAAAAGTAATCGTATCAAATTACCCCTTTCTACACTTAAGAAGGTTTGCTGCTGTTGTTCTTGTTTTTTATAGCTTGGTTAGATGTTACATGATATTTTGGGTATAATTGGGTATAATTCTCCTTTTACATATTAGAAAAGTGAAAGGAGTTTCCCCTGGTGGGCTGACCAACAATCCCCCAAATAAAATTGGTCACTCACTTCATAGCTGTTTGGGGGAAATTACTGTGTGCAAGTTGGCTACCAAGTTTGCCCACAAAATACACACAGCTACACCACTTAACAGATTATCCTGTGAAGCGCCTTGAGCCAAGCAATTCAAGATGTTGGTATTCTTGGACCAATATTTGAATCCATTAAAACCAAGGGGTGAACAATGCAACATTTCAAAACAGATTTAATATTTTTTGTGGTGTCTCTGGTTAACAATGTCCCAGATTAATTGGTTATTAATCCAGGGCAGGCTGCCAAAACCCTCATACATGCTTTCATTACATTGAGGATTGACTATGCAAACTCATTGCTTGTCGGCCTCCCCAACTCCTCCCTCTGTAGACTGCAGATCATCCAGAACTCTGCAGCCCGCATCCTCTCCTGCACTAGGCTCCGAGACCCTATCACCCCCCATCCTTGCCGAACTCCACTGGCTTCCCGTCACACAGAGGATACAGTTCAAGATCCTGGTCCTGACCATCAAAGACCTCCATGGAATTGCTCCCTCCTACCTCTGCGCCCTCCTAATCCTGCTCCCTCACTCCTCTCAGCGGGCTCCAGCCTTCTGCCACTCTGCCCCCACCCTCCGGAACTCCATCCGCAGTCCCTCCGCCTCACCCCTCCCTTGCCACCTTCAAGACCCATCTCAAGACCCTCCTCTTCCCCCGTGCTTTCAATCTCCCTGCTTCCCCCACTGCCCTCCACCCTCTCCGACCCCGACCCCCAGCTCGAGTCCAAAACTCTGTATGTCCAGCGCCTTGGGACATCCTCCCAATGTGAAAGGCGCTATACAAATGTAATTTTGTTGTTGTTATTCACCTCATGATAAACACAGCAGCCAATTTACGCACAGCAATGTCCGACAAACAGCAACTAAGTGAATGATCATTTTCTCTGCAGGATTGTGGGCACAAGGAGAAACTGCCTTCTCTTTCTGAATATTGGTATGCGATGTGTAATGTCCACCTGACAGGCAGATGGAAACTCCATTTAATGTCTTAGCCAAATGACATTTGAGTTTGATTCTGGGTCTTGGGGCTCTAAGTTGTGAGTTGAGACTAACAGAGCTGAGCTTGTTCTCATCAGAAAAAGGAAAACTGAGAGACGGATACAATCCAGGTTAGTAAAATGCTGAGGAATAGCTGAGGTATATAAGCAGGCCTGCCCCATTGAGAATGGGACTTCATTGACTTCAGGGGATTTTATAAAAAAGTGGATGTTTCCTTGCTGGCTTGATTTTCTCTGGCAGAAAAAATACAGAGTCAATAGACAAACATTATAGAAGGTGCCAGTAAGTACTATTGGTGCCAAATATTGAAGATCAAGGACCAATATCTGGGGTGGAAACATCACTGATACCGCAGATTTCTATGTTTCTAACTATTCTCATATTCATGCATTTGCCTACAAAATACACACTCACTACACTTAATCGTAAATCCTGTGCAGCGCTTTGAGATGTCCCGTTCTCCCCCCGCCCTCCCAATGTGAAAGGCACTATATCAAATGCAAGCGTTGTTATTAATATTCCTGTTTCTCACGGTTCTGTGTTCAAGATGGCCTCTGGCATCCCACCTTTAATTAAAGGCTTCTCTTTCTTTGGCACTGAATTGACTTCAGTGTCCAAATCTCTTCTGTTAGCTCGGCAGACAAGTAGCCGCGGATGCAACACATTTATCTTCATATACTAGGCTTCTGTTGCTAAAATAACTGATGGATTATAGTAGCACTCCAAGCATTTGACAAAGCAGATTTATTGCCAGTACTTAAGCCATGACCTAAATTGGTGTATCAGTTGGATTAACTTCCCCTGATCAATAACCGGCTGTTTTTACAAATCCAGACAAACGTTTTCAGAAAATGTGCAGTCAAGCTATGTGTTCTTTCGAAAGCAACATGTGATCTGCCATAGTATGAAATTGCCAATGTTTATACAATGCTGCAGATGATTGTTTTTAAGTTGTTCTGAGTATATTCTTGGAAATCTGTTGTAAATGCTCCGGGGGAGAAATTACACTTGGGGAATAGGCTTTTTTTTTGGCATGCAGAATTTGGTTAATTCTTAAATTCAATCTTAATTTTGAAGTTGGTTTTCTGTAGATTCTTTAAGTATTAAGACTTCAAAATCAATTTAAGAAATTAAGGCTTCAAACATTAAGAGGGAATTTAAGAAGTTACCAAATTCAGCAGGCGCCTAAAAGCTAAGAAAATATTGTATGTCTAACACAGGTGGAATTTCAACCCACACAATCACCGTTTCTGGAAAATACAGAAAACAATTCCGTGTCTCTATTCTGATCTGGTGTCCTTTGTGATGGGACTCTCTCTTCTCTTTTCCAGATGTTGCAGATTATGGTCTGAGCTGTGAGTTAGACACACCCCATAAAACCAATGACTTAGAACAATGAAACGTACCTTTACATTTAGGGTATAATTTTGTTATTTGGATAACATTTTGATGAAAAATTGACTTTTGTTACATTGCTGCATTAGGGAACAATATCCGGAACTTAATATTTTTGGAACACTACTTATGGAATTATGCATGGCAACCTTGATTAATAACGACTAACCAAAATAACACACTAATAGTATAGTGCAACGTACATTTGAACAATTTGACTTTGAAATTTAATAGTTTTACCAAACTAGAATAACAACTGTTACAAATTCACGGTCAATCTGAGGATTAAATTTCACTGTTTCACGTCCTGTCATTTGATGCCATACAATCCTAACCCCCAATTTTTATCAGATATTATATACATCTGGTAAACTGACATATTTGTAATACCCACTTGTGAATTATTTCATCTTTATCTAAGACACTTGAAAAACATTGCAATAGAATACCAGATCTGATCAAGACTCCTGATAATCCAATGGTAAATGTAACAGTTGTTGCACCTTTGGCATTTGGAAAAAAATCATTACTTCTTGGCTATAGAACACATTTGTTCTGATTAAAGCATTCTGGCAATGCATCAAGGTTTGTAATTTCATATGAAAATTGAATCTGACTATAACACTTACTAATGTACCATAGCCTCTATCACAACAACTTGCACCCTTCACATAGGTAGGATCTTGGAGTGCTTAACAGCAGCAAGAGAGGAGAGATGACCAAAGATACGGTCGAGAGGGAAGTCTTTAGGGGTGATTTGAGGACAGGCAAGGAGCGGACAGGACAGATGGAATGAGGCAGGGAATTCCAGAGATTCGGGGCATAGTGGCTGAAAGCACGGCTGGCAGTTGTAGAGTGGAGGGGCCGACAGACGTGCAGAAGACCCGAGTCTGCTGAGTGAAGGCGGTGGGTAGAGGAATGGGGTGTGAATATGTGTAAAGTAGAATGCATTTCTCATGACTCCCTCACTGACTGAGAAACATTAGAAATGTTCTTACATTTTCAAAATACCACACACTTCTTGTGACTCCCATAGACATGTTAGACAGGTTTTACGATTTTTTTTAATATGCTTTTAGCATTATCTTCAATAAAACTTAGTGATGCGACAAATACAATATCCTGGAAAAGGTGCAAAATAAAGCGTGTGTCTGTCAGAATGGGCTCTAGTCTGTTTCAAACTATCTGTAACCAGAATTGAGTTTCCCTCCACTATCCCTCCCCACCCCACCCCTGCCACCACCACAACTCACACAGACTTGCAGGGTTCAGATAACCCCCTCAAAAAGAAACATTAGACCATCAGAAACCAAGATGCACAAAACCAGAACAGTTACAACTATTTTTTAACCACAAAAGGCAATCACCAGTTCATCGGCTCCCATTTCGAGGGAACCACCATGGATTAAGAAGGAATAAACCTCTGATATATACCTGCCTTAGAAATACAAGAGGGAGAGGGGAATAGAAGGTATGGGAGGAAGTAAAGAGTGAATGGAGACTCGTGGAGCGTGAACACTGGCGCAGACTGGTTGGGCCAAATGGCCTGTTTCTGTGCTGTATATTCTTTGTAAATCCACTCAAATCTATGATCACCAACATGATTTTAAAGGGACAGGTCAAACCCAAACGTGAAATTATTCCAATTGAGCAGCATCTGTATTGACGTAAAAAAAATCATTAAACTTTGGTTCAGGCTCCAGCGTCATCTTTCAATGGTGGGATAAGAATCATGTATCAGTCTCTCTGTTCCAACATATGGTTTAGATGGACCTGGCTTTCATAGGAGCAACTTTTTCCTGTGCCAGACATATCAGCTGATCTATGGATTACCTCAGGCTCCCGGTTTCTTTGTTCATTGCCCCACATAGTTTCTCATGTTCGACAGCAGAAGCTGTTTTCCCTTATTCCCTTCTCTTAGGCTGAACATCCGCAAACCATCCTTCATCCCCACTATAATACTATGGCATTCCATGCCCAGGTTAATTGCTTAAACAGGCAATATCTGATCACCGGAGAGCGATCATCACTGGAGCTGAATCCAGCAC